GCACTGAATTTTCCGAGAATTGTTTGTAAATCTGAGTATCATCAGCGTAGCTATGAATACGCGTGTGTCGGAGACACTTAGGAAACTGAGACGTGTAGATCACGAATAAGATAGGTCCGAGAATTGATCCCTGTGGTACGCCAGTTGAAGTTTCAAGGAAAGTTGATTTCTCTGTATATAGCGCATTTCATATAAAAATATCAATATATTTCTGTATACCCTGTATATTTGAAGAGATATCGCAACACTCTCTCAATATGATCGAAACCAATATGGAATATCGTGAAAAAATCAGTTTTGTATCTTCTTGAATGGATAGAAAACCTAGAAGATGAAGGGGGGTCACATATAAATTTTATAAAACTAGCCCTGTACATGTGAAAATGTTGATGTTTAGAATTATTGTTAAGTTTAATTGTACTTATTGGAATTTCCGTGTTGGCTTCTTTTATAATTATATTTCTGTTATGGTATATTGTTTTTTGTTCACCTGAATATTAATTTTGATGAGACAATTTTTAGACTGTGGATGGCTACTTCGTCCATTATTTAGCATTTTGTTTCAGTGTATTTTTCGAAAAATTCATAGTATGGATGGATTCGTTGCTCATTCTATAGTAAGAAGAAATGTATAGGCTACAACCCCTCCCCCCTCAGGTCCCAGATGGATTACACAATTCCGATGAGATGGGAAAGATACGACTCATATAAATATGTGTCCTGAATTGTTTCGTTTTTGAATGCTTATTGGTTGTTGAACAGGGTGTATCTGAAAAGCATCGAAAAAATTCAAAGGGTGATTCCTTGTTATTTTTTAGGAAATAAAGTTTATATAAACATGTGTCCGAACTTGCTTCGTTTTCGAGATACAAGGTATTGATATTTTCATGAAAAGCTTTTTTCTATTCATTTCTCAATTCTCTATAAATTAATTTCAATAAAACATTGTGGTTTTATTAATAGTAATATGGAGCTCCTTCTAGTGCAATTAGATTCGAAATAATATTCTCATTGGCGTCACAGTGGGTAAATTTATCGATATTTATGGTAAATTTCATTGTACACCGCCGGTTTTTCTGAGTTTTATATTTTTATTAGATTGAACTATTGAAATAACAACTTTTTCATCCTTTGTCTGATTTTTGTATCTAGCTTAGTTTTTGAGGAAACAATAAAAATTCGATTTGACTAAAACAATCAATACTTCCAACTTCAACATCCTGTATCTCACAAACGGAGCAACTTAGGACACATGTTTGAATGAACTTTATTTAGAATGTCATAAGGAAACGCCCCTTGATTTGTTTTGGTGTTATTTAAATACACTCTGTATAGAAAGGACTGTACTACTTAGCAAACAGAGTTCAGGTTAGATATCACCGCCGGTTTGTCCCGATGTGATGAGGAATTTAGAAGAGGTCATTCCGAGGGGCATCCAATTTCTTTTCAAAGTCAAGTCGCCTGGAGAGTGAGATATATGAAAGAAGGTTATTTCTCACTGACACGAAACATTTTTCAAAGCCCTTCATTCAAATATAGGAAATAATGCCCTTAAAAAACGTATTTTTTTTTCAATTTATGGAACCGTTTTGATTTGAGGTATTTTGCTGGAATAAGTAACCATATGGTAACAATATGTGAAATCGTAACAGATATAATTATCAAATCAACTTTATGAAGAAACAAATATATTTTCTTTGGAAGAGCACTATCTGATAAATACTCTCAAAATTTCTTTCGATAATATCAACAAACACCTCAAATCTAACTTCATATTGGTAAGGAATTCTCAAATCCATGAACATTATACTGGACAATATGACTTGTTTCATCTTGATGCTGCTCATTCTACACTTGGTAAAAAAAAGTTCACTCACGGAGCTATCTCAAAATTCGATAAATCACCTGATGATATCAAAAGTTGCACAAATATCACCCAGTTCAAAATCAAAGTCAAGAAACATATCCTCTTGCAAAGAGAAAATCAAACCTGAGTGAATGATTCCTCATTGACTAATTTCATCATGTCACAATGTACTTTTCATGAGCTTTTTGTTTCATTTTTTTTTCTCATATTCTGTTGTTTATTTCAATAACTATAATTTAATTTGATAACGCATGAATAATCTCATACCAGATATGAATCTGTCTGATTATTCATGTTATTCTATTGTAAATGTTAATGATTATATTCATATTTATATGAGATGCAATGTAATGTTTATAGCAAAGATTGAAATAAAGATTGATTGATTGATTGAAAAACATAGATCTACTGTTATTGTCATACAACACAGATTCAGAATACGCTGTGAAAGTATAGTGATTTTGTTGGTCAATTTTGATGTCTTGTCCGATATGGGGTATGAAAAATTTTTTAGCCATATGGTCACTCAAACCATCTCAAACCAATATAGGGTTGAGGCAGGTTAATTCTAGGTAAACGTATCTTGATTATTTAACGAACAATTGTTATCCTTGCTTCTTCTGTGCCTGTTCCTGCTTTTTGAATAATAATGTATGGCGTTGTATCGTGGTGTACCTGGCTATGAATTAGCAGTGTTGTCAACTGCTGAATATGAACTGTCGCCAGAAGATACGAAAAAAAATGCAAGAAGTCGCTTCAGCGAGCGATGCGTGCAAGAAGCCCACCGCATGCGAAAGTTTTGATAATTCAGCGACTACTTTCCGTGATTCAGCGACATTTTTGATCATTTTCAGTTGATTCATAACATCAGATTGTTTGGGAAAGATGGCAACACTTTCTTCTTTTCAATAAAAGTAGCTTTCTTCGCGAAATGGGCGTTACTAGTTTTTTGGTGAAAATCCCATTTTTTGCGTCCTATGCCCAAGTCACGCAGAATGGACACAGACAGACCAAGTTACTATGAATTCGAACGCTGGCCAGTGAAAAAGTCGCAAAACTATTGAGTGGCGAGTTATCATACGCGCTAACAAGTGCATACTACTTTTGAAGTGACATAACCGGGATTCTTGGTTCTACAATACTGTGTTATGTGCTCTCTACTATGAAAACTGATGGTGATCACCTCCAGGATAATACCGGTCTAAGGATGACAAAAAGGAAGCTGAAATGAAGGTACAATTTTGTAATGCTCTCGTTTGATGATAAATGATACTTAATATACAATCATACAGTCCATTTTCGCATTCCCAAACATTTGATATGGCAGATAAAATATCATAGCAAATTTTATTCATTCAGAATCTGTGCATAATGAAAAAGGACATTACAAAAAACGAATTGATTATAAATTTTCCTCTAAAATTTCATTCGGTACTATGGGGTTATACCAGGGCCTAATAGAGTAGGCCCTGGTTATACATACATTGTACTAGACTAGAGTCACTCGATGGTATTAGTAAGATCACAAAATATATTTCTCGGTTGTATTTGAAGTATTTCTTCGATCAAATCACACATCAATAAACCTGTCAAACCATGTCAACTCATATTTCTAGATCGACATCATACAGATCTGCGATTTATTCATTGCTATACGTCACATTGGTTCCTAAGTTTCAATACTGATTTAGGCAAAATAAAATCTTTACAAGCATCATATAATTTTTTGAACCAAATCGAATATACAAAATATCATTCAAAAGTGGCAGAAGTGGCACAAATGATGAGGACAAACCCTGTCATCTGTTTTATATTCTCTGCTTATCACTTCGTCTCGAATGTTCCAATGTGAATTCATATCCGTCGTCACCAATTCATGTGATCAAAATATCTCCATACAAACCACTATGAATATTTCGAAAACGCTAGAATTCTGACACGTCGCAAATCAAGTTGAAATGTCGCATTCACCCACCCAAAAAACTCTAGATTCAGCGACAAAACCGCCAAAAGATGGCAACCCTGTGAAGTAGTATTGAAACTTGTGACTGATATTATCATGGCGCTGTTTCATGTGAAATTGTCAACATGTTATACATGGCTGTGATGCTGGGAATTTTGAGCCCTATTCAATGGTATGAAAAACAAATATGGCACCCATCAGAAGAACGAAAGTTGTCTGGTGAATCTGAAAATGATGGATATTTTTGTCCATATCTTGGAGCGCACGAATGGAAATTCCAATAATTTTCAAAGAACATCGTTCGTACCTAGGGAGGATAGGAAAAGGAGGTAGGTGTTGGATTTTTTAAAAACTTTTGGAGGTTATAGATTTTGGGGAAAACTTCCATTGGCAAAGAATTCCAAAGCTTTGACATTCTATAGACGACCGAGTTTTGGTATTGTTTGACATATTTCAAGGTTGACAACGAAAGGATGTGCTGTCTTTGGGCCTGACATTCCCAACTTCATTGTCATAATTACAAGGTAATTACTCAATCACCTGCTAAGGTACACAAAATATCAAATTTCTTCCTCTGATATCGACAAAGAGAATGAATAAAAACAAAATCAGTGATTTTTCGTCTTTTCGAAATATCTCAGGAAGGGCTGAAATTTTTCCAAATTGCAAAACGTCGTATTGAAGAAGTTCAAATCACGCAACTTTTGTTCAATTTTGATCAACTCTCTATCTCTCAATGTTAAGGAAATAGTTTACGACAATTATTACTGAACGACCATTGAATATAATTGAAAATAATGAAGGTATCTATATATTTTTTTTAACGAAACCATTATGTACCAAGAGTATTATTATAATTATAAAATGGATAACTGAAATATAATCCACGTGACGACATGTCCAAAATCTCCATGATAATACATCTAATGCTGATGGTCGCCCTCTCAAAGTTCTTATGCTTCTTGATCTCTCTATGCTTCTTGGTTCAACTTTATCTTCGAATGCGTACGACTGGTTGCATAAAGCAGCAATGACAACTCTGGTATAACCTTAGATCTTAGATATAACATGAAACAAAATCTGCCAACACTGCGTAAGTTTCATCACCTTACTGACCTTACTAGCTGCAGGCTGCAGTGTCAGTCACCACTGTCACTGTCCACTCAACTGTTAGACTGTCACTAGTCAGCATCAGCAGCAGGTCATGCAGGAGCAGTTTGTCTGTTTGTTATCTGCTTATATGATAAAAAGGTGGATAGATAGCAGTACTGTATTATTAGGTAGTTTATTGTAGTTAGTTTGATTGTAACAGCTTTATTCTTTAAAATATGGAAGAAGAGAACCAAATACTATCGGAAGAGCTTGTCACGGCTAAGGAAGATGAAAGTGATTCTGAGAAGTCGGATACCAATACCGAGTCAGGTAAACGTTCATGACATTATGATTTCGGAAGATTTCATTGCGGCATATAGTTTATTCCTACCATGAAAAAATTGTCTTCGGCCTAACTGACCTAATCTACAATTTTTAGACGATTTGTACGCCATAAATATTTATTTTGGCTGTCACCAATTATTTCTGACAGTAAGTTGAATTCACATAAAATCTGAAAAATATATATCGAAGTGCAACAATAACATCGAAAGGCGATAATTGATATTGATAGTTGAAAGTTGAAAAGGTTAAATAGTTAAATATGCAATGGAATTGTGGTATTTATTCCCAATAATATCGCTTTATCGTTGCCGGTTGCTTGATACTGAGTGCCAGGGTGCCTGACTGCCGAGTTGACTGCCTCCTGGAGGTGTGTGTACTTTTTTGGGCTTGTTTCAGCCAAAATGTTCGTTCAATAGGAATGAGAGTGTTAAACATTTTTGAATATAATAATTAATAAAACACAAAATTTTTCATTATAATATGATATTATCGAGGATATTAAATTTTTTCTAGGAATATCTGTTATTAGGTACCACCCCTAAGAATGTTCTGCAAAAATGTCAGGAGATGAGGGTGTTTTCATCCCTTCTACATTTTCTTCTGGGTTTCATAATTCATAACCTCTACTTATCTTCTTCTTTTCTTTTCTTATCGGACTCAGGCCTTATAGGCCTACATCTCGGCCTACATTTAGTAAAAATATTCAAATATTCGCAGTATATTTTTATATCATTCTCGGATTTCATCCATGAACAGTATGTGATATATTATAGTTATTTTTTAATCTGGTATGAACCTCGTAGGAACCTATCCTATAGGGAGGATAGAGAGTCTTTGAACTTCCATAAGCAGTGAGGTAGTGGAATCCCCAAACGACGATATCCTCGACAATATTATTTTGCTTCTTGAGATTTCAATGAAGAGTTTAAATTCACCTTTAAGAGGTCTGCAGCAAGAATTTAAAGTTACGTTTTTTTCATTATGAAGAATGGTTGAGGCATTGAGATTATCAACTGTTAGTCCAAACAATCTTCGAACAATGAAACAAGGCATTTCGCACTGTCTTCCTTAATTTCCAAACAAATCATAAATGATCCGGCATCGGAGATCAACTGGAGATTCACTTGCCTACATTCTACATTACCCCATATAAAGCAAGTTTCATAAGAAAAACAAGTTGAATCAATACCTGACAGAAGGATTCGGGAATATTTGGCACCAAGAACTTTTTCACAAACTCCCATCACATGAAGTGCTACCTCAGCTATGCTTTCTTACAAGCGTCTAGCTAAGGACCGGCGAATCTTTCAAACCTCAAAGTTATCAGAAGGTTATTGGTGTTCATAAGAATTTAATATGAAAAAAAAAATTAACGCCTCACAGGGATTGATCCCCAGTCACGAACGTGGAAGTCAGATACATAAACCACTAAGCTATCGCTGGCCCTCAGGAGCTAACAACTTGTGAGTACGGGAATGGTGAACCCGAGGTACCCTAGCCGGATATTCACCATACTTCAACTTGTCTTGGGTTATATCATCTTCTCTCTTCCTTTTTCAATCTATCTATCGGCTTTTTTTGCCATTTTCTCTTTTCCTCCTCCCCTTCAAGCCCAACCTCACCATCAAGTGGTGTGGGGAGGACAGACCGCGGCCGCTCGACGGATGAAGCATTTTGGGACCATCTTTGCTATCTCCGGGCCAGTTGGGACAATTTGTGGGCAACTGTGGCAGGGATGGGGCGATTTGCTGATGTCTGTCTAGGTGGCAGAGGACTGGTCAACGGGGCTCTGGCAACCTAATCCAAGCTGTGGAAACCCGTGGTGATGGATGAATGGCACCGAGGTATGGTGTCGCTAACGGAGCCTCTGGGAAACAGGGCGACATCTCAGAGTAAGCAGCCTTAGCCCTGTGCAGGGGGCATCACAGGGCTGAACCAACCCCGTCACTCGTAGGAGAAGGAAAACTGTTGGCCTTCTTCGTAGACGAGAACAGGGATCGAAAGAGTAATCTTCAGGAACCTGAACGAAAAGGGTCTTTCATATTGAAGTGGCCCTTAATAAGCACCATGAGTCGTATATGGTAAAATTGATAACGGCATGTAGGTAAGATACAATGAGCCACTAGGCCTAAGTGTCGTCGGAGACTTCGGTCAGACGAGCCTACAAACGGGGTGGAGTGTTTAGTTGGTATACCTGGAGTCAGGGGACTCCCACACTATCATATGGGGGATTGGACCAATATGGTTCTCATAAAGGATTTCAATCACCTCGATGAAAATATGCTATCAATATGAAGAAGGAAGAAATATCATGTGTTGTGGGTGACGTCACTTGACCTCGATGTTTGATAATTCGCTGGTCTAGCTAGACGCTTCTTGCTTTCTTTAATCGAGTTTGCTTTCAGATAGATCACTCCTCATATCACTCCATGTGGTGGTGGACGAAATATCGTCTGATATAATACCATAGTCATCAATTCGGGGATCCCACAAGGATCCGTTCCGGCACCAGCTTTGTTCCTACATCAATGGTCTGTTTAGAAGTAACCATTTGCCCTATCCAAAGCATTGCAAATTACCACTCTCCATGTCGAATCCATCCCGAGAACTGTTTCATGAAACTGCGATTTTTGTGTCGAAACTATACTGACATTTAATTGGAACAAATATAGGATGGGTCAAGATTCAGAATTCTGATCACCCTGTCTCAGTTACAATCGGAGGTCCCCCCCCCGCTTTCTTTCCTGGCGGCACCCATGTTCTGGACCTATTTATATGGACTTCCCTTCTTAAAATCGCCCAAATAATCAACCCTTGAAGTTTGGCCTAATAGACCAGAAGATGGTGACAGGTGACGTTCTCCTATTTTAGACTGCATACCTTCATAAGGCTTTATAATTAACCCCAAAATATGAACAGTAGACGGGTTCCTGGCACCGACTTATCTACTCTATCTAGACTAGAAGTAGTCATATCGCAGCAACCCGAAAATGTAGGGCCAGTTGCTCGCTTGAAAACGCTTCTGCTCATGGACGTATATTTATACGTCCATGCTTCTGCTCAATACGCAGGAACCGCCAAGCTGTCGTTCATAACTTTGACGTGGTATCGAAATCAACGTAGCATCCATTTTGTCCATAGGCGGGACAAGGATGATGGCGTCGGCTTAATTGTTCTGTTCAAGGGTCGGCTTAATAAAAATAATATCCAAATTGAGTGGTGTTATAAATTTTTTTGTTTAATTTTCGCCAATCCTAGGGAATATAAAGTGCTTCGTTCTTTGGTGTAAGAATTCCACGATTAATATTACTGCTCGGTGGTCGGGAGCGTGAAGGCGCTGAGTTCGTATGGGACTCCCACCGAGACCTAGGTTCGAATCCTAGTTAGGCCATGGATGATTGTGTTTGTATGTAAACCTTACCCCGCACAAGTTTCGACTTATGGGGCGTTTGATTCCAGTGCTGGGACCAACGAGGTATGCAATTGCAAAGAATTGCAAATTGCAAAAAATGTTTATTTTCATCGGTGAGTTTGTGGGTAATGAATAATTCATTATTTCAATTTGCTTTTTTCAGTTGAGCAAGTATTCAATTCAAATGAAATCATGCATGTTTTGTATATTCTTTTAGCTTTGAAGAATTTAAGTTCAGGCGTGAGATGCCATACCTGATTACCTGCTCATCTATTTTAGACGATTTCGGATTAAAAGTTCACTCATTCAATAATGATCCTAGCATTCCTGAGAATGAAAGGAATTAATGGTTTCAGGCTATTTTGAGACCCTTATTGAACCATTTTACGCCAGACAGCTTTTTGATGCTTCCAGGAAAAAATCCAGGACATTGAAACCACAGGCAAATTTGCCGTTGTTTCAAATTAACTTCTCAAATCTGAGAATTTGGAAGCTATGAGACCTGAATACGGCATAATTCATTCGTTTTCCACTACTTTACGTATGGTTTATCAACCTTCTATATTAGCCCCCTCCCAACCTTGTTCATTCAATACGCCTATATTCCTCGGATTCATGATTGTAACATGAGAGTTCCTAAATGAGCATGACTCAGTTTCACCAGTTCGATCTCCTGAGTGGCTCACCTTTTTCCTTATAGAACTGGCGGTCTAGATCAGTCCATGAGTCGGTGGTTCCTGGCCGCCACATGTGTGAACTTCGTAAGGAAAAGCACTTTTCTTTTCGTGGAGAATCTCCGTGTTTTTCCGCAATATTATATTGCCTGCCGTTGTAATAATATACGGGAGTTAAAACAAACTGAAGCGCTAATAATTGATGGCATGCAATCCGCAGCGGCCTAAAGGGCTCAAAAGAGTTACGAAAATCAGAAGAAAATTAAAGGTGACTTCCGTGTTTTCAAATTGCATGCCGATATAAAGAATTTTCACCTGTCACCGTTTCCTGGTCTATAATACTGTATCATCTTGGAATAATAGTTATTTATGTATTAAGGGAATTATGAGGGCCTTAATTACCGATGGCAAAGTTTGCGTCCCGAGGGCCTCTGGCCCGAGGGACAGCAATTGCCAGAGGTTGACTCAGTTTCACCAGTTCGATCTCCTGAGTGGCTCACCTTTTTCCTTATAGAACTGGTGGTCTAGATCAGATCAGTCTATGAGTCGGTGGTTCCCGGCCGCCACATGTGTGAACTTCGTAAGGAAAAGCACTTTTTTTTTTCGTGGAGAATCTCCGTGTTTTTTCGCAATATTATATTGCCTGCCGTTTTAATAATATAGGGAAGTTAAAACAAACTGAAGCGCTAATAATTGATGGCATGCAATCCGCAGCGGCCTAACGGGCTCAAAAGAGTTACGAAAATCAAAAGAAAATTATCCTGTGTTTTCAAATTGCATGCCGATTTAATGAATTTTCACCTGTCACCGTTTCCTGGTCTATAATACTGTATCATCTTGGAATAATAGTTATTTATGTATTAAGGGAATTATGAGGGTTAGACATGTTTTTCCGCATAGTTTCAATGTCATCAGAACGTCAGATGATGATCTTGACTACCGCGAATAGAAGATTCTTTATTGCTACGTTATTGCGTGGTTGTTGCTATGCATTTCTTATTTAATTTTAGCTAGAGGGAATTATAGCATCTATAACATCCCAAGGGAGTTATGACCCTCATAATAGATATCGTAACTATGACGATATAAGCTTATAATGTCACTGTCAGAAATAAAAAAAAATATTGCATCGGCCGGGAATCGAACCCGGGCCGCCCGCGTGGCAGGCGAGCATTCTACCACTGAACCACCGATGCGTTGAGAATCTATATTATATTCCTGGTAAAAATTTAACAATTTGTGCAATATTATGTGAAGAGAGTTCTTAATAGGGCTGTGCAAAAATGTCAATATATCGATATATTATGTCGATATATCGATCGATATATCGGCTAATATTCGAAATACCTCGAGAGGTACTAGGAAAATTGATAAAGAGCAGAATATATGTATTTTTCTTTTATTCACTCAAACCTTCGAAATAAAGAAAATATGAAAGGACAGAAACGAACTGTTATCTTACTAATACCATCCAGTTACTCTAGTAGATTGAACTAGAAGTTGAAGTTAAAACTATGCAACCTATAAAACCATTTTCCATCTAGATAAATTGATGTCTTTATCTTTCAGAAATCATCATGTTGAATCCAACGAAAGAATATGAAAGGCCATTTCTATATGCGTTCATACCATCAATATCAAGATCTTACAAATACGATATATCTCTATCCGGAAAATGGATGATGTTTTTCGCCAAAAACATATTAGATGAGAAATGGAAAATGTGCTGTGATCTTTATAAAGCAAGAAAATTAACAGGAATCGCACAAATGAAAGTGTCCACAAGCGTCAGGAGCCCAAGAACCACTGACCATGCAAATGGTGTGATAATATTCTATTGTGGTCCAGCGAATGATGAGGAAGCAGTCATGGCATATGGAAAAAAACTTTTGGAAGTGGTTCCTTATACTGGAAATCGCTACATGTACTATAAAAGTGATGAGCAGACCTACGAGGGTACCAGAGCAACAGGGCAGAAGAAAAACCATTTGTACAAGATTAGTGTTCCAGTTGTCCCAGAGTCTTGGAGAAAATGAATCCACACAAAATCAATGAGTTGTATTGACATCTCTACTGGCCTACTACACTTTTATTTCCGGATGTCTCACGTATTTATTTCATATACAGTGTGTGCATGCGATATCATCTCGTAACACGGTCCTAATTTGGAACCTGTTGAATAAAAGAAGCGAGAATTTTTTAATTTGGGGGTAATTCATAGTGGTTAGGGTTTCACGAGACTCTCGAAATTCGAGATTTCTCGTCTCGTCTCGTCTCGATTTCCAGACGAGATCGAGACGAGACAACTAATTTTTCTTCGAGACGAGATCGAGAAATTATTTCGAGATTTCTCGATCTCGAAAAAAATTATGCGCTGCAATAACTCCAGCTCCAAGTACAGTTGTATTCAATAAAAAGGCGTGCATGTATTAAAAAGAGAGGTCAACGTCATCCTAGTTCTAGTTGTGTAAAACTGGCTCAGCCAATGCTTTGTAGTTTTGCCAACCTATGACAAATGTCAACATAGGTATGGTGAAAAATCATTCTCGATAGCCCGTTTTACGCAAATAGGATGACGTTAGCTTCTCTCTCTAATACTTGTACGCTATTTTTTTGAATACAACTGTACGCCAGAAAAAGACAATGAAAAACTAAGCTAAGAAATAATTTCATAATTCATACATTAATTTGCGTTATATCGGGTTGTTCAAGAGACGACTGTTTCGATAATAAAAAATGAGTTTGTTGCAGGTGCTGTTCACGAACGAAGAAACACTTTCAAACATTCACTTTTCGTACCTAGGTAAATTTTAAATGTACCTATATGGATAAAAGATTGAATTCAAACATCAAGAATTCGTTTAATTTTCATTTTTTTGGAATAATATTCTTTTGTTCTGGATGTATGACAAATTGATATTCATCATACAGGGCGTGGAAAGAAATTCTGAATTGATGAAATAACAAGTTTCCTTCGTACAAGTTTGAATCCCTTGATTTGGATGAAGAAAGTATTGAAAAAGAATATTCTCAGATGTATAATAAACTTTGAAAAACTTGATACAAATGCAAATTCTCAAATTCAGAAGATTTTATTTTCAAATTCTCATCGTGTGTGTTCAATAGATATATAATTCAATGTTCGTCGTGGCATACAGCCAGGAAAGTGGTTGTTTTCTGTTGAATATACCGAGAAAGAATTAATATTTTCATCACATAGAGAATGCGATTTCTCAATGCATTTCTTTAAATGCATCAATTTTTTTCATGCAATATATCTGAGAAAATTCCTTTTCAATACAATATTTTTCCTTTTTTGCTGATGCTCGGCGGTTTGTTTGTTATACGTGGCTTTGATTTCATGTATTAACATAATTCTTTTATAGAAAAAAATTAATAACCTGTATTTTGATTCAGCTCTGGCCTTGGCCTGTACATAGCATTTTTTAATAACATTCAGTTTTTGTTTTCGAGACTCTCGAAATCTCGAGAGTCTCGAATCGAGATCGAGAAATTGTCTTCGAGAGAAACATCGAGACGAGAGTTTGTTAATTTCTCGTCTCGATGATCGAGACGAGACGAGAAAGTGCCTTGGAGACGAGATTTCTCGTCTCGATGAAACCCTAATAGTGGTGCCCGCGAGAGTCTCGTTTTCGAGAGTCTCGCATGGTCTCGTCTCCATTTCGAGACAAGACTCGAGACGATACTCGGACAAGACGAGACGAGACTTTTGTTGGTCTTGCAAGACTTCTCGTGTCTCGTGCGAGTCTCGCAGGTAAATATTCCTGCGTTTCAACTGCAGACTTGAGAATTTCATTCATAATAAAACATATTTAGAAAGAATTCTATAAGATAACAACGGAATCGACTTAATAATGAATCTGCACGATGTTTGTTATGTCTTAACGACTGGGTGAAAACCAAAAACATTTGTGATCGTGACGGCTGATCTGACTGAAGGTTTTTTTTCTCCAATCGGCATGGATAGCGGATTTTTCCTGCCGCTTAACAGGCAGAAAAGGTGTACTTTCAATGCCTATATAAGCAAAAAAAGTTTGTTGCTATGCACCGTTTCAAGAAATTCTAATGGAATTAGTAATCAAAATTGACACTGACATTGGGTGAACACAAAATGATGGAGTTTTCAATAAAAAAATATTGGTTTTATATCATTTGGAGAAAAAATTCTATGTTTCACACGGCAGCAAATGTAGATTGACTACTTTTCTGCCTAGTAAAACAAATAACTATTTTCTTAGATATCCATTTCTAAAATAAGTAAAATAATGTTGAATTAAAGTTTTTGTTTTGTTTATTTGTTTAGAACATACACTTTTTATTTTATTCTAATAACTTTCGAATATAAAATGCTATGTTTGTTTTTCTTATTTAGATGTATGATGTAAGTATGTAACTAATAGGTACTTACTTTTCAATGAAGAATAATGTTTTTTTTTTGTTGTAATTTTCGCTTCCTACTTCTACATTATACCTAAAAAGTAGGTAAAGGTGAATATCCCGCACTAGACTGGAACAAGATTATGCATGACGAAATTGCGATACATTCGCGAGACTCTCGTATGAGACGCGAGACAAGACGAGACTCGGGGCTGCGAGACGAGACTCGAGACAAGACTTTATATTTTATCGGCGAGACGAGACGAGACTTTATGAAAGTCCTGAATATAATACTGCCGTGCTAAGCTTGAAAGTGGTAATAATTCTAGGAAGATGATTTCGAGATAATTAAGTTTGAAGTTTTATGTAATTTTCAAGCTGATAATAAATGATTATACGGGAAATATTTACAGTAATAAGGTTATGTTTGATGTGAATGTTATAACACATTTAACAAAAAAACTGAATTTTGAAAAATATACGGTCGATAACACTTTCAAGCATAGTATTTTCAAATAAAAAATCTGATAAAAGTTTGTGGTATGTTCAACAACAACGAGAAATCAATAACAATGTTAGAAACCACTGATGTTCATTATTTGTAGTGTGCATGGATTATGTCAAATGATATGAAATACGAATGAAAATACTAAGACTCTAACGCTCAAAAACAAAATGGTGAATGAATTATTCCTCTCCATCATTAGAGTTGATATAATTCATGGCTTCAACGTGTTATGATGAATGATTTGTATTTAACACTCTATAGCTGTGGGCTATAGGCAGTAACAGGGTGTAATTTAATTGATGGCAGAAAAAGAAAAGAATATGGTTCCTGTAAAAAATCAACCGCGTGATCAAATGACTTGAAATTTGGTCACCCAGTATATTTGATGATGCTCACTCGAATTATGCTATTGAATGAATCGTAGGTATACAGGGTCACACCGAAGTGCACCTCAACTTTATTATTTGAATAGGGACACCCAGTATATTATTCCATATTCAAGTAGAGTTCATTATTACAAATTCAACAATGCCGGGTTCGATGGGATTTTTTCAAACGACTACGAAGATATGGCAAAAAATCAAACGATTCAATAAAAAATGTATATGATTAGATTTTGTTGATATGACCCGATTGAAATCGAATAAAAAGAAAATAATTAGAAAATATGTCGTCCATTCTGCTGCAAACATTTCCTAGCTCTTTTGATAACGTTCATTGTGACTCTATGTATCACGTTTCGATCAATTTGTGCGCATAAGTTTGTGCTTTTCTCTTCCATTTCTTCCATATTCACAATTGGCGACTTATAAACCTGTTGTTTCAAGTAGCCCCACAAATAAAAGTCAAGTGGGGTGAGGTTTGGCGACCGAGCTGGCCAGTTGCTATCACCATCGAGACAATTGGTGGTTATCAGATTTTAATTATTTTCTTTTCATTCGATTTCAATCGTGTTATATTGATGAAATCTAATCATATGAATTTTTTATTGAATCGTTTTATTTCTTGCCATATCTTCGTAGTCGTTTAAAAAAATCCCATCAAACCCGGCATTGTCGAATTTGTAATAATAAACTCTACTTGAATATGGAATAATATACTATGTGTTCCTATTCAAATAATAAAGTTGAGGTGCACTTCGGTGTGACTCTGTATACCTACGATTTATTCAATAGCATAATTCAAGTGAGCATCATCAAATATACCTACTGGGTGACCAAATTTCAAGTCATTCGATCGCGCGGTTGATTTTTTACAGAGGGGGACATTTTAGCTGGGACACGGAACTTTCGACCTATACTGTGTTGAAATTTTAAGAAAAAAATCAATAACGGTCGATATATTTTCATGAAATTTGACATGCACCTTCTAAGCACCAATAAGCATTTTTCGCGTAAACATATAAAAACAATTTTCATGCATTTGTGGCTTAACAAAATTATTTTGAACTAGTAGGCTAATGCCATATTTTGTATTCGAAATAATGAAATTACGTTGCGGTCTTATTTTGACAAGTATATTCATGAACGTGACAGTTTTTCACATTGTGAAAGAAAATGTGAATACCCAATATAATTCGAAAGTTAAGAGGTTTAGGGAATATATGTTCATATAAACTTTTCTTGAGCTAATAAGGAACCATATCCTATATTTTCAGCCATCAATTGAATTACACCCTGTATACCAGGATTGCACAAACCGCGGCCCACTGTCAGCATTTATGCGACTCGCTAATGAATTTCAAAAATTGTACCAAAAACCACGAAAATAAGCAAAAGTCTATTGAAATCCATATTACTTTACTTTTCATTTTATTCTTTTGTAATTGTTATTAAGAAATGTATCTTCAAGTACCTACCTACTCAACTACTTCCTTGGTCAGGTTTACTGCGTAGGTTTACTACGCAGATATCCTCCTCCTCCATGAATGAAGACAAAGATCAATTGATTTCGAATTTATACCTTTGGTTATACCCTTGATTATATACACTAGTATACTCTCATGTTCCGTACTTTCAATGCAAATAGTCTTATTAGGACACAAATCATGTCAGCCAATTACAACCGCATTCTCCGAAAAGCGAAAATATTTTGCAAAAATTCAATGAAAATTGATAGGAAGGTTTCCAGGATCGTTTTCTGAATTTCAAACAAGTTAAACCTCTGTTGGACACTTTGAGCAATCCTTTGAACATTTCACCCGAATATGCATCGGAATCAATACAGCAGGAGTTCTCATATTTTACCGTTGCGTTGTCAAATTCCCT